TGAAAGAAGGTGCATTTGCCTGTTTAAAATAAGAAATTCCGTTACATAGTCCGTTAAAACAACAAATTCCGTTAGTTTTTCCGTTAAAAACAAGAAATTCCGTTACATAGCCACTTTTAATATATAGAAGATAATGATGTACGATTAATATTTATCATTTCACACCAAAATGAACACATGACAGAGAATAAAAAATTGTGAAGGTTGTCAGTACACCTCCCACATGTATGTTAGACATTTTTCAATTAATTTTTTTTATAATTTATTTTCGTTGAAATATGTTCATTTCTTTTTTATTATTATTATTTTTTTATCTTTATTCTTTTTCTACGTTCCTCTCTTGTACAAATAACATACAATTAGTGCAATTCACAACCCATTGAAGATGTTCTTTTTTCCCTCACCATTTTGTTTGTTACACATACAACAATGTACATTGTGACATTAGAGACATTATCACAAATAATTGGGAATAACTTTAAGCCCTTGTTTGTTGGGTTTAAAATCAAAATTTTTAACAGACTTTAATAGAAATTGATGAAATATATGGTTGAAATGTGGTTTCCGTAAAATGTGTAGTTAAAATTAATTATTAATTTTGACTTGAAATAAAATATCGATTTTAAATTATACCAAACATAGGTTACATTTAGAAAGTAAATTTTTTAATACACTTCAACAATTTTCTCTATTTAACTTTTCCTTTTATTTTTTTCAAGAAATATTTATTAATTTATTTTTATCCTTCAATTAATATATTATTTTATATGTCAATGGTTTAAGTAATTTGAGAAGTGGAGTATTATACATTTTATCTTATTAAATGAAATAATCATAAAGTAGGAATGGAGAGACAAATAAACTATTTTCAAAGTCAAAATTATGAGTTCTTGTAGCTTATTTTAAATATTGACTCTAAAAAATAGATAATATATTGTATTTAGATAGTTTCTTAAAGATGCTATTAACCCGTCAAGTGACAAATTCATATATTAAGCCCTTGTTTGAGCGATTATTTGAAAAAAGTAATAGAATATATTTTTTAAAAATAGATTNATATAATATATTTTCTAAAAATAGATTGAGTTATTAACATGGAACCCCTTATTACTTGCACAAATGGAATGGTATCTTCACTCTCAATAGTTACATACAAGTTTATAGAACATAGAAAGACAGGAGAGCTCGGATCGAATCGGTGATTTTTGAATAGTTTTTTTTTGGGAGAATATGTGGTTAAAAAAGTAAGAAGATTTTTTCGATTTATGTATAATATTATTTTATTGAGAGAATGCGTAATTGATAAGAAGAGGAAGAAAAATGAATTAAAATTTAATGGGGCTAAACACGAGCCTCAATAAATTTTCCAGTTAGTTAATAATTGATGATTTTCAATTTTAGAATACGAACCACAATATTTGCTAAAATATTATTTTTCTTTTACAATTTCTTAGTTATAAAATGATGAGCTCCTGCTCTCGATGTATTTTCTTTAGATCTGTTGATATTCGATGTGAAATAAAATGTAATAATTAATTACTTAGTCTAGAAGAGCAGCGTGATAAATTGTTGTAACTATAAATCTAGAAGGCACTAAAAGTCATGTTTGTTGAGGTCGAAAACCAAGTAGTGATTCAGCGTGGAATATGAAAACATCATTTGAATATTTGACAAAGTGTGTCCACCATGTTGATTACTTTTACTTAATCAAAACTACTTTGTAGTGTGCGAAATTGATTTGTGCGAATCCATTTCGTGTCTTTATCTTTTACCTTTACGTAAGACGATGTTTCTTTATCTAGATTTAATGATCACCGTACATTTATCTCGATATATACATAACACTCAAATGTAAAGTTTGACTAGCGCGATCAATTGAAATGACAAATTGGAGTTTTAATATCTTGTGTTCACATATGAAAATTTAGAATTGATGATGATGGTGACCTAAAAATGATTAAATTAATTTATATTCTAGGTTTTATTTTGTTACTATGTTGATGGTAAAATAGTATTCTAAAAAGCTCATTTGGCCTATGCTTTAAATTTATTTACGTCTAAGCCCGTTTAAACACCTAAAAATTTAGATTTTGATCTTACCATCTAGCAACACTATACATTTTTTAGAATACTAATAAAATTACGTAAGAAAATAGTAAGAAAAATTAGAATTGGACTCTTCAAACTTTTAAATAGTTTTGTTACGAGTTTCCAATTTTCAAAAGTGAGGTTATGAGTCTCTAACCTACTTAAATATGTGAATTTGGGTCTCCGCGTAACCGAAATTGTTATCAATGTTTTTGAACCCGAATTCATAAAATTTAAATGAGTTGAGGAACAAAACTTTACTTTTGAAATGTCTCCTAACCACGTGAAAAGTTGGAAAGTCCAACCCTAATTTTTTTCACAATGTAATTAACAAAAACATTTAAGTTACTCTTAATAACAAATGTATAATTTAAGATGAAACTCAACAAATCTGATTTCCTATCCACAGTGGATAGGAGAAATCTTGCCTACTGTTTATGTGGTAATGCCACGTCAGTTTTTAAGTTTACAAATTTTTAAAATATAATGAATAACTTGCCATGGACAAAATATCAACGCCACTTTAGCCGTGAGCAAAATATCTATCGACAGGAGATCAATTCTATGAAACTCAATGCCCAACTTAACACGATTTGTTATAATATGTTCTCGTATAAAACAAAATAACAAAAGTTATTTAGCAATGGTTGGCCCACAAGCCTACTGCATCACCCCTCAACAGACCTGCCGTTTCCGCAAAAATGTTTTGTCGGTTCCCCATCTATAAAATAAAGGAAACCCTCTCAACATTTCTCCAACCTAACCTACTTTGCACAAATCTCTCTCTCACTGAAAACTCCATTTCACATACAGCTCCATCATGTTCTAAGCATTTGTTGAATAATCACAAGTAGTACTTCCAAAGAATCAATCTGTTGTTGGTGCCAGTAACTCTGGAGTTGACTCATTTCATCACATCATATTTTTTTGCTTAGTATCTTTTCTTCTCAGAGATTAAAGGAAGCATGGCATTTGAGCAATATTTTGTGCAGGAATGGAAATCCATTCCCGACTCTGAAAAGAATTCCCCTTGCTTTGATTGCAGTATCTGTTTGGACTTTGTGTCTGATCCTGTGGTTACCCTTTGTGGCCATCTCTACTGTTGGCCCTGCATCTACAAGTGGTTTCAAAGTGCTTCACTTGATTCAGATAAGCAGCTCCCTAGATGCCCAGTTTGCAAGACCGAAATATCTGAAAAAACCATGGTCCCTCTGTATGGCCGGGGAAAAGGCCTCTCGGAAACCGAACACAAGGTCAAGAATATACCGCCAAGGCCACTAGCTCGTGCCATACAAGATTCAGATCATCGAAATCCACGCAATTTATCCGATCCGTATTCGAGTAACGAAGAAGGAGATGCTTCGTCGTCTCCATCACATCCCAGGATAGGGATGTTTGGAGAGATGGTTTATGCCAGAGTTTTTGGTAATTCAGAGAGTTTATACTGGTATCCTAACTCGTACCACTTAGAGGGAAATAGTACCCCTGGATTAAGAAGGCAGCAATTANCTAACAAATCTCTCGGTAGAGTTTCGGTTTTCCTCTTGTGTTGTTTTCTTTTGTGCCTTGTCCTGTTCTAGTTTTATCTTAAGGAATTTTTGCTACCTCTTTTTGATCCCATGTATAAAACTAGCTATTGATGCAATAGAGTATATATGATCTCTACTTATTTGTCTGCAGTAATTTCTTATCCGTTCTTCTTCGGTGGCAATGTTCATAGATCACATTTTTATGCTCTTCTGATCTAGATCCAATTTAAAAAAATAAAAATCGTCGGTGGCACAAAATTTACCAGATTCTCGCGGTAATAAATGAAAGGGGCACGTATTTACAGTCGGTCAGATCAGATCGTCAACCGTAAGAGTATTGTATCTGCCACCAGTCAAAGCGTACTATTCATACAGAGGCCCCGTGAGAATCAATCTTGATACGTGTACACTAAATTCGGATGACATTCCTATGAGTTTGTAGTTTTTTATACATTAATTTTAACAATATTTTAAACAATCAATAATACAAAGTTTGACAACTCACACAACATTAACAATAATGTCGTCTAAGAATGTACATCTAAATTAATTATGTGAGTTGTAAAATCAACCACTGATTAAGATGTTGAAGTTATATGGTACTATAATAAAGTATTTGATCAAGTAAAAGAATAATAAAGATAAGAAATATGACAGAGGAATTACAAATTTTATTGACTCAAGAATAATGAAGAAAAAAGAAAATTATAATGGATCCTATAATTCTAATAATATATTTTCTCACACCTATAAAATTGTATAGAAGATCCTAATATTTATAGGGAACATATAGGGAATGTCCAAATCCTCATATTAGAGTTGTTGATGAAGTCGAATACCAAAAACTGAGTCAAAAACGAAGTAGGAGAAGAAAATGCGAAAAAGGGAACAGAACTAAACATGTAGCGTCGCTGCGCCCACTTCCCAGCGCCGTGCGCTGGGTGTTCTAAAAATATTTTATTTTATTTTTCAATTTTTTTCTCCATTACAAACTTTTGTTCAAGTCTAATACCAATTTTCAACTCCCAAAATGCTTCCAATATAACTCTTCAACTTAACATAGGATTTCAATAGCAATCCAAACTGAATTTTTCTTGACGTGCAATTCAATTAAAATTCTTCAATAATTCAATCAAAGAATTCGGGTCACACTCAAATTCTAACAATTTCCACCTTGACACGAATTCCACTAAAGAATGAACTGACTTTTTCAACAATAACCAAAAAAATTAATTTCTCCAACAAAACACAATACTCAAACTCTTTCAATGAATCCAATCACTACTCTTGTAGAATTATCTCAGATCCCTAAAAAATCATAATGATTTTATAATTTACCAAATTGGGTTGTAACACACCTAAAGCAGAATTAAACTCAAATGCTTTTGAAGAAAGCTCATTGCTAGATTGTACGCTTTCTACTCCACTTAAAGCATGTTCAACAATATCAACATCTGCATACCCTTTTTGATTGGGTCCGTCCCTAACAATTGAATACAATGGCACCACATGTGAGATGGCAAAGCAGCATTATCTATATCTCATGAACCCCACTAAGCAGTATTCTTCAAATCCGATCATTTACGAGCTCCTAAAGGTATTGTACCAAATTGAATGTCCACCAAGGTGCTGATCCTGTGTTAATCGACTCTTCTAAATTATGCACGACCCTACAAGATGTATAACTGAAACATTTTTTGTCTCTCCAATACAACATGAGCACCCTTACAAACCTTCAAAACTCCACCCCCACCAAAAAACTCATAACCTTTTGAATCAAGGATAGACAACGAGATGAGATTCTTCTTTAAATCCGGAACATGTCGAACATGGCCAAGTGTTCTAATTGTTCCATCCAAAAGATTCAATCTAACCGTACTAATTCTAGCAACCCGACAAGGTGCGTTGTTTTTCATAACTACCACACATTTAGAAACAGTTTTATATGTAGTAAATAAGTTCTTATTAGGACATATATGAAACACACACGCTGAATCAAGAATCTAATCATCTTCCGGTTTAAACTCAATGTCAGAAATAATTAAGAGATCTCCATCATTTACAACGTTCTTCGTGAGGTCTGCTTCGCCTGAAGTATCTGGATATCTACTTGCAGCAATCATTTCTTTATTCTGCAATTTGTAGCAATCTTTTTTCATGTGCCTCTTCTTTTTGTAGTAGTTACAAATCTGATTCTTGAGCTTAGATTTCGATCTGCCCCTTCCAGAACCACCATGAGCAACTAGGTCTTCTCCATCTTTGGCTTCAAAAACCAGATGCTTCATCTTCTCTTTTAAATACAATGCATTATACATCTCCTCTATGGTGAGAGTATCACGACATACAAGATTGTATCTCTAAATGAAGAAAACGAAGCGAGCAACGAACACAATAAGATCAAGAACAAATCCTTTTCATCATACTCTACTTCCAAAATTTCCAAATCAGCTACGATCTCTTTAAATGCAGCCGGTGATCTTCCAATGATCCTCCTTCTGCCATTCGATGAGAATTTAAACGCTGCTTGTTGTTCAACTTGCTTGTTAGACTTTTAGTCATGCACAATTGCTCCAATTTCAACCATAAAGCAGCTTGATAGATGAAGATGAATGTGAGAAATTGCCTTCTTATCCTTCCGTAATTTATTCTCCGTGGTCGTTGTGGACATCTTGTCAATTCCCAGCAACGCATCATCCAAATCCAGTTGTGCAAGTACTGGACGCATCTTAACCTGCCATTGCGAAAATCTTGTGCTTCGATCCAAAAGTGGAATGTTAGACTTCATGGAAGCCATCACGAACAAAAATTTCGAACAAATCAAACCATGTGCTTTTACAGAACCGTTGAACTTAGGTTTTGATACCACTTATTATGAAATCAACTACTGGATTGAGATGTTGAAATTATATGACACTATAATAAAGTATTTGATCAAACAAAAGAATAATAAAGACAAGAAATATGGTACAGAAATTAAGAGATTTTATTGACTCAAGAATAATGGAGAAGAGAGAAAATTACAATGGATCTTATAATTCTAGTAATCTATTTTCTTACACATATAAAATTGTATAGAAGAGCCAAATATTTATAGGGAACATATAGGAGACGTCCAAACCCTCCTAGTAGAGTTGTTGATGAAGTAGGATGTAAAAAATAGTGTCTAAAATGAAGTAGGAGAAGAAAACGCGAAAGCGGAATAGAACAGAACATGTGGCGCCCACTTCCAGGCGCCTCGGCACCGTGTGTTCTGAATTTTTTTTTTCAAATTGTTTTCTCCATCCCAAACTCTTTTTCAAGTCTAATACCAATTTTTAACTCTCAATGAGTTTCCAAAATAAAACTTCAACTTGACATAGGACTCCAATATCATTCCAAACTGAATTCTCCTTGACGTACACTTCAATTAAAATCCCTTAATATTTCAATCAAGGAATTTGGGTCACACCCAAATTCTAATATGAGAATAGAGTTATTTCCCTCATAGGCAGAGCCAACACCCATATGATTTTTTTTTTTGCCAATAAACAATGAAAAATGACCAAGTGTTTCCCTATAAAAAACTTGTCAAACTTTTTCTGTACATATAGCATCACTCTGAGAGTAACGTTTGTTACGAATCGGTGAGGAGTTCCAAAATTTCTTCATTACTGATTTACTTGTCTTCTGTCCCAAACTCACAGTTCCTTTTAACTTGTGGAAAGGGTCGTAATGTCCCGTCCTTGATACAATTCGTCAAAAACATCTCCCATAGGAAATATTCCTAGTTCCTCTACTTTTTCCAAATATTACTTCTATCCAAATATTCCAGACAAGCAATCAAAGAATCATTGCTCGACAGTAATTACAGAGATCACCTTCCTCAATGCTTCCATGGCTTCGGGGACTTGATTTTCTTGAAGGTATTATCCATATGCCAAATGGAACCACGTAATTACAAGAGGTTAGATAATCCACTGTATATAAGGGCTTCTGCCTTCATCAAAAGGCTATCAATATGCATTGATCGAGGAACTCGATTCCCATCCCTCAAAAATCTTCTTAGCCTCTTCAATGTCATCGTTAAAATTCATCAGTGAGTGCATCATGCTTATATAAACCTTATTGATTGTAATGAATAAAATGGATACCAGATTGCTCTCGTACCAATTCGTTGTAAAATAGGCAAGAAAAGAATAATACATTTACGACAAAATATGAAGAAATTGATTACAAACATACAAAAACAAAATAATTGGCAAAGGAAAAGAGATTTTATTAAAATATGGAGAATGAATACAATGATTATGTATTTACTGTTCACAAAAATATATTTCGAATTAAAATCATCGTAAGTGTACAATTCGTTAACAAGTAATAAAGTGGAATTAAGTCGAGGTATCGTCCCATGGAGATTGATTTAGTTCAATTTTAATTATCACGACCTTAACTGAAACAAGAATAATGTGAAGTGCTTGTTTGTGACAGAATTATAACTAAAATAATTTACTTATGCTTCCCATAGGGATTGATTTAGTTCAATTTAAATTAACACGACCTTAATCGAATTAAGGATAATGCGAAGGGTTTGTTTGTGACAAAATTATAATTAAAATAAGCTACTTGTGCAATTATAAGTAAATTAACTAAACTAATTACAAATTATTCTAAGTGCAATTTAGTGTGTTTAATAAATAACAAACGCAATAGGATCCTGAATTCCGATGCAATAATCTTCTTTAACCTTAATTCTACACTTTGACAACACGATTGAATTTTGACGAATCAATATTTCTATTTTATTTAACAACCTCTCTATAGTAATGTTGAACCTACTCTCTCACATATGACTCAAATATATTTCTATGATGGATGAGAACATATAAAAGTGTATGAATTTTTATGAACACTTGAAGATTCACATAGAGCATAGCATATATTTCTATCCCCTATCGGAGTCTTTGACAATTTATATATGTCTTCCTTCTTTCGAATGTATAAAATAAGCCACCAAATTCACACAACTTCCGTACAAAGTAATTGTGGAGAACAGAAAATCATATAAATCATTC